TGGTTGATGCATCGACATAATGGTCACATGTTTGCATGTTGTCCACAAGCAACGCTGCCTTTGCGAAACTCTTAACACAAATTATTAAGTAAGGGCTCACCACCCTAATTATCCGATCAAGTCGATTCGATTGGATAACGTTGGAGAGTTTACGTCACAGACTTTTGACGATTATTGCATGTCACTAAGGATTGAAGTAGAACATCTGGTACCCCATGTTCACACCCAAAATGGCCTGAGAGAAACTTTCATAAAGCGCCATCAATTGATAGCTTGTACTTTGGTTATGTGAACAAAATTGCAGGTATCTGCCTGGGGTTACATAATATTGCACGTAGCTATGCTGGTCTGCCTAAAGCCCATTTCTACCCAACCTCATTCACCATTACAGTTGGTTACTGGATATGAGCCTGATGTCACATTTACGTGTGTTCGGGTGTGCAGTCTATGTGCTAATAACGTCACCACTACATACCAAAATGGGTCATCAGAGAAAAATGGGAATCTATGTCGATTATGATTCGCCATCAATTGTTCGCTATTTAGAACCCTTGACAAAAGATCTCTTTACCGCACGTTTTACGGATTATCACTTTGATAAGACAGTTTTCCTATCATTACGGGGAGATAAGCATGCTAACGTTCCTGGAAAACGTCGCGAATTGTCATGGTATGCTCCCACTATGTCTTATTTAGATCCCCACACTGCTCAGTCTAAAACTGAGGTGCATCGAATGATAGATCTTCAGAGCGTTGCTCAGAGTATGCCAGATGCTTTTATAGATCTAAAAAAGGTGACAATATCACATATACTCGCTGCAAACACACCAACAAGGATAGATGTACCCTACATGCGTCACCATCTCACATGGGAAGGACGAACCGTCCCCAAAGGTAAGGAGGTCGCATCTTCCACGTAGCCCAACACATTGGCGGCTAGCCAATCATCTGCTCGGACCCTAAAGCATGGTAGACCCCTTGGTTCAAAAGATTCACAACCTTGGAAGAGGAAATCTACACCAACTAGTGACCCTAGTTTGAATTTGACCATCGCTCACTCATCTGTTCTAACACATGTGGTTATTCTAGATTACGATCATGTCTTAGATGAGACAAAATGGCCTCCCGAGAATCACGAGATTTCGGTCTGCTACGCAGTATTGGATGAGGTTTGGAATCGAAATGAGATGATCATCGATGATGCACTTGTGTACACAATAACTACTAACATCATGCATTTCCATTGATGAATGCCAACGTCGAACAGATTGGTCAAACTAGAAACAAGCAATCTAGGTTGAACTTGATTCCCTTGCGAAACGTAAGGTGTTTGGACCTATTGTTCCTACACCACCACGAGTGAAGCTCGTTGGCTACAAGTGGGTTTTCGTGAGGAAACGTAATGAGAAGAATGAAATAGTGCGATAAAAAGCATGCCTTATAGCGCAAAGCTTCTCTAAGGGCCTTGGGATTGATTACGAGGAGACGTATTCCCCCGTAATGGATGTCATAACATTCTGCTACCTAATCAATTTGGTAGTTTCCGAAAAACTGAATATGTAGCTTATGGACGTGGTAACCGCATATCTCTATAGGGATCTAGATACGGAAATATTCATGAAAGTTCTAGAAAGACTTCCATTGACTGCTTCAAATAGCTCTAGACCATGGAACACTCTTTGTATTAGATTGAGGAAGTCATTCTATGGATTGAAACAATCCGGACGAATGTGGTATAACTGTCTGAGTGAATATTTGACAAGTTAGGATTATGTGAACAATGAATTATGCTCATGCATGTTCATTAAGAAGTCACATTCCGGATTTGCAATCGTTGCAGTTTATGTCGACGACATGAACCTCATTGGAACTCCTGTAAAGCTTGAGGAAATTGCCGTGCACTTGAAATCGGAATTTGAGATGAAAGATCTTGGGAAAGCTCAATACTGTCTCGACCTAGAGATGGAGCATTGTTCAAATGGAATCCTAGTACATCAATCGAACTACATCCAGAAGGTGTTGCGGTGTTTTAATGAGGATAAAGCGAGCATTCTTGTACACATATAGTCGTTCGGACTCTAGATGCTAAATGAGATCCCTTCCATCCAAATGACGATGAGGAAGAGATTTTGGAACCCGAAGTTCCATACCTAAGTGCAATTAGGGCTTTATTGTACTTGGCTCAATGCACTAAACCTGACATCTCCTTCGCTATTAATCTTTTAGCTGGATACAGCAATGCGCCCATATGCAAGCACTGGAATGGAGTTAAAGATATTTTCCGCTACCTTAAGGGTACGATAGATTTGGGCTTGTTCTATATCCGCGAATCTTCGAGTGTTGCCGCCCCCCTCGGTTCTTGGATTGATTCTCTCCTTGTTAGTTAAGCAGATGTTGGATATCTATCTGACCCATATATGACATGTTCTCAAATAGGTCATGTCTTTATCGTTGGAGACACTGCTATATATGGGAGGTCTACCAAGTAAACGCTAGTTGCGACTTCTTTGAACCATGCTGATATTCTCGCCTTGCATAAAGCATTGCGTGAGTGTTTTTGGTTGAGAGTCGTCATGGAACATATTTGAAGCACTAGTGGTTTTACTTCTGTTGTTGACCTTCTTACAAGGATCTTTGAAGACAATGCAGCATGTATCAAACAGTTAAATAAAGGATACATCAAGGGAGACAACACCAAGCACATAGCACCAAAGTTCTTTTATTCTCATCAGCAACCACAGCATCAGAACATTGAAGTCAAGCAAATCCATTCCCATTACAACTTGCCCAATCCCTTCACCAAGTCATTGCCTAAGTCTTCTTTTTAGAAGCTCGTCCAAGGAATCGGTATGCGTAAATTATCTGAATTGAATCGCTTGTAGTTCTCTTATTTGGAAGTTATGTCTAACTCAGGGGGAGTATCCTGAAGCATACTCACTTGATCTTAATGTACTCTTTTTCCTACGATTATGAACATTTTTCCCACTGGGTTTTTGCTACCTAATGAGGCTTTGATGAGGCATCCATCTTGGGATGATCATACTCCATTGAATTCACTACTTTCGTCATGTTTCATATTTGTTTTAGATATTATGCATACTTCTCACTTTTCTTCTTAGTCTATAGGTTTTTCTCCCACCTTGGGTTTTACCATGGCGAGGTTTTGTGAGTTTTACTACTAATCAATACTTTCTTAAATTTAAGACTCGCATTTGCCCATTGTGTCGCTAACTTCATCAACTATTCTACTTTATTTGTTGAAGATCTGATGCAATGGTTTGTTGAGTATTTACACACTCAAGGAGGAGTGTTGTAGTCATATTTAGAATAAGAATGTGATTGTGTAAATCCTAGTGAATCTAGGAATATCTTTATATTCCTATTAGGAGTTAATTACCTATTAAGAGTTGTAATCCTAAAAGGGTAAGGATTTTACCTATCCTACTACTATAAATAAAGACACAATGAGGTGATACAACACACACCTCACAATTAAATCTCTATCTTCCCTCTCTCAGTACCGCCGGCTTCCCTCTCTCTATTCCCTTAGAATAGCTCAGTTAAATAGACCTACAACATAATTCCTTTTTTTTTGTCTGTTTCTATAAAACAAGGTCTATACAATTTCGAGGAAGATTCAATTATGTTGAAAGTAAAATCTCATGGTGATAGTTATGAGCCATGACATTTAAATTTTTATTCGAATATTCTTTTTTATTAAAACTTGTTAACAAGTTCTATTCTTATGATATAATCATCCCAACACTAATTTTTTTTCATAGAAATTTTTAATTCCCATCACCCTTGTTTGATGAATTTTTCATGCCAGTAATAAAAAAAAACCTTTAGTTTTTCCTCAAATTAATCATGTTGCTATTTGGTCTAATTTTTTTATATGTCTTAATTAAAGGCCCCTCCTAAGAGTGATTTCTGGTTTCGTGGTCACTGTTATTTTGAGAGAATGCAAAATCTAAAGATAGAGTTTCTGTTAGAAGCAGCGTTTATTTTGTGTATGTGTGTGACAAATCCTTGTAAATTTCTGTTTAGTTATTAAAAGAGTTGCACTTTTCAACGGTAAAGTTAATCACATATCTTAACAAAACAAGATGATTTTCGATCTTTATGAAAATGATGCAGCCAAAATATTTGTTTTTCTTCTGTATATGTAATAACTCTTTGGGGACTGAAAATTCTTGTAGGTACCTTGGAACGACTTAATTTTCTGATGGGCAGTTGATAGTCAATCGTTGATAAGTGTTGCTCTTACAATGGAGCCCAACAGATTTACGATTGCCATTAGCCCTTGGCCCATCTTTTTTGACCATCATAGTGCATAACCGTACATATATAACTCACTCAACCCACATTTTTCACACTTACTTTGAGTCTGATGATACGGGCATCCACACATAGGAAAGATTCTACCAAAGATAGAAAGAGGGGGAGACAAAGTGACATAATCTAGTTACAAACTAGAACTTCCCCCCATTTAGTGGAGAAAATTTTGATTTGGTAGCTTGTCTAACGAGTTAGTCAAGCTACCTTCACAAAGGGAGAGACTGTGTGCATTTGAAAGTTGTACCTACGTGAGATTAGATGATATCTAAATATAGAAAACTCATTCTGCTTGAAAATGCCCATCCTTACAGCTGGTCAAAGTGCCCTACCCAAATTTCTTTCCATTAGTGAGATTTGAAAATTTTCTTTCACATTATATGAGAACATGTATGTTGAAAATTGTACTTATATCAGATCATATGATATCTACGGATAGGGCAAGAAATGGCTTAAGCAATCTTCATCGGAAACCTAACCATTAGTACATTTACCGAAAGTGGCCACACTAAATTGGCAAATTCCAGCACGTGCACACCAACTTTCCCACGTGCGAGGGGAATCCCTACTCCCATTGGCCCCATCATCCTCTCTTCCGGACAAGCCCGAAGACCCTCTGGCCTCCTCCCACCCAGCCTCCCACCATTTTCCCATCCCTAATCAAATTCCCATTTTCTCGAGAAACAAACAGAAAATATCACAAAAGGAGATCAAGAGATCCAATCTCTTCGCCTCCAACACCAAAGGGGTGGCCTGACATCAAAACACACACGCACACACTCACCACCGCAACAATAAGAACCATGTGGCGGAGACTGCTCTCTTCCTCTCAACTCAAAACCTTAACCCTAGCCGCCGCCGGTAGTGCAGCCGCTCCATGCCGATCGGCTGCTGGACCCGCCCGCTCTCTCCTCCACAAGCCCCTCCCTCTCCTCCCTAGCTACTTCAGCACCACCGCCGAAGCTGGTAATCTTTTCCACTTACTCGTCGCAAACCCTAATCTTCCTCTCAGATCTTTGTCCGATGGGCGGGATTTAGATTTGTTTGTTTTGTTGCAGCGACGACTGGTGTGAAGAAGGTTGAGGAGGTACAGCCCATTGCCACCGGCCACGAGCGAGAGGAGCTTGAAGCTGAACTTGAGGTAACACTTTTTTTTTTTTTTTTTTTTTTATAATTATTATTTGTAAGTTATTGTAGTTTTGTAATGTGAAAACTGTTTGGCTGATGAGAAAATGTAGGAAAAGAAAATGAGTTTGTTAGGAAGTGACAAATTTTACCTATTTCTTTGGTTATTAATTTTTGTTGCTCAGTTGAATTCTGGTTGACGATGTGTGCTCATTTTCGTATGTCATTGCGTTGAGTAGTTGAGTTCTGATTGACGATTCACACTCAATTCATGTGTCATTTTCATTAATCGATATGCAAGCGTTTATTTTCTTTGGGTTTTAGAAGTTCGATGCATTTTCTTGTTCTTTGTCTTCAGGGAAGGGATGTTCTAGAAATCAACCATCCTGTTGGTCCTTTTGGCACAAAGGTAAGAGCTATCTTGTGAAATTTAGATTGCTTAGTTTATTATCTTGGCGTAGCGGTTTCCAAAGTTATTTGTGACTTAATTTGTGGTTCCTTCAGCACGAGATATACCATGTGGAAGCTGATTGTTCTTGTAAATTGCTTTAGGAATTTCTTTGTGGGTTCTGTGATGTTTATTGTATTGTTATTTGTATATTTTCTGTGATTGACACTTACTTGAAATGCACTATGGTGACAGAACCCAAAAACACCATTGGGTTTCAAAGTAGCACTATCTAATTCAACATTTGCACCCAATTGAGCATATCTGGTATATTCATTCACATTTGCACCCAATTGGGCATAATACTTTGTGAAAATTGAAAAGCTAGGTACTTTTTTTTTTTTTTTTTTTTGGTCAAATGATAGATTTTATCATATGAGATGTTAGATTAGCCACCGACAAGGTTCAAACCTACACCGTCATGCAAGGGCTCAACTCCTTTCCACCACTGGTAAAGGGCCTTTGCAAAAAAGAAAAAAAAAGCTAGGTACTTTACTTTTATAAAATAGTGTCTCTTATTCTATTTAAGCATATTCTTTTATTAAATAAGAGATATGCATAGCTGTTAGTGTTAATTTCCTAATTCCTAATTGGACTTGTCTCCACATATTAAGATATTTACTTTTGTAAATAATAAATTATTTTCATGTACATAGTTCCAGGTTGAACTATGGAGATAATATAAAAAGTTAAAAACTGTAACCTCAAAGCATCAAATGTGGAAGTGTCTTAAATGGACCTATAGGGGGCGTTTGTTTGCCCTCACTAAGTCGGACTGGACTGGACTGGACTAGCTATTAGTCCAATACTGTGTTTGTTTCATGCTGGGACTAACATTAATGAGACTAAAGGGGACTAGCATGGACAAAACCCTTCACTAAGAGGTCTTAGTGAGACCCCCCAATAACCATGGGACTAGCTAAGACTATCCTCTATTTCTCGTCCTTGTCATGCTCAACGACCACTCCTGACAGACTCCTCGTCATCTCCGGTCACCTAGATCAATCATTAACTTTCCGACTCTCTTTCAGATCCATTTCACAACCAACTTTCATATAAAATATACCAAATTGAAGCTGGGAGTGACAAGATTACGATTTTACTTGAATTGAGGCCAAAATGTGGTCGAATGTGGCCGAAAAATGGCCTGTAAGTCTCGGCCTGTTTGGGCTTCTTCAAATCCATGACAGATTCGAGCATGCAAAGCTAAGATCTCGGTCCAGGGATGGTGATGAATTTTTTGGCGGTGCTAACTTCATCCAATTTAATGAGGGTTGGCCAAAAAACACATCGGGAAACCTGCAACTCGTCGGGAAAATTGGAGCCGTGAGATTCCGTTCGAACAACGCATAGCTAGAGAGGGAGGGAGGACAGAGAAATAGAGACTGTAATCAATAAGGAGTTTGACCAGGAATGAGAAAGAGACATGAATTGAGAGGTTTGAGAGGAAAAAAAGAGGGAGAGGGTGGGACGATGAGAGAAGAGGAAAAGAGTGGGACGGAAATGGTAGGAAAAGATAGAGAAAAAGATAAAATCATAATAAAATATTAATAATTTATATATTAAATAAAATAATATTAGAATTTGTTATTATCCAGCTTCTTAGTCCAATACTGCATCAAACGCTTCACTAAGTTAGTCCAGTTTAGTCTAGTCTAAGCCAGTCCAGCTTAGTCCTTGAAGCTAATCCAGTCCGAGATAGTCCGGCGCAACAAACGCCCTCATAGGGTCTTCGATTCAAAGTTCAAATTGTCTACAATTTGAGGCATATTTTCTAAAGCATAGTTTTGAGTATTAAGTATAGAAGTCATTTTACTTTATTTCCGGTTTTGTAGCTAAAGACCAAGCTGTATCTGAGTAATGGGTTTGGAACTTTGGACTGGACTGATTGAGTCTGGTTTTGGGAAACCATGCAAATAAGTAATCTAGGATTTCTTATGAAATGGGTTGTTGATTGTTTCAAATCTGTGTGGGATGCTCTAATCCTGACAATATTATACCAAATTGTTTGGTTTTGGTGAAATGAACACTTATAAAACACTTGTATTTGTATCATTATATGATGTAAGCACAGTTTGTCTGTCTGGCACTGCTATCTCTTAATTATTGTAAATGCCCCTAATTCATCTCAGTTTGGCTCTTTAATGATCAATTTGAATCTGTCATGGTCTAGAAGAGAAAAGAATACTAATTTTTTCATATATAAATAGTCGGCTACATGTTCATTTTCTATGCATCAAAGGCCATTTGTGATATAAAGTGTGAGCACTTTCAAAGCAGTTGCTATTATGTTGGTTTGGCCCCTTGGGGTCGTTTATATGGTCCTATGGTGGAATAATAAGAATTGCTTGAGTCTGAAGAAAAATGGAAAAGAATCTGGATTTGATTTATGGTGGGGGAAAACTGAACTAAATCAATTCACATCCCTATCTTTAGATTTTTAATTTATATGTTCTGGACCTCCTTTGAGGGAGGGAGGAGGATTAGTTTGCTTTTGATTTTTACCAGAGGCCATGATGATTTCATGTGTATACTTGTCCCTTATGTTATTATAAAAGGGGACAAAAAGAGATGAAATTCTAATTTATAAAATTTTGGCCTTTAGGAAGAACCTGCGGTTGTCAAGTCCTACTACGACAAGAGAATAGTTGGGTGCCCTGGTGGTGAAGGCGGTAGGTACTTCTATGTTCATTGTTTCTCTTCTCCTTGTATGTGCAGATCTATGCTTGCTCACTGCTTCGTTTTAAAATAATGATTCTTCTGAATTTAAATTGGTATCATTTTGATGTTTTTTTGTTGTATTTTAATTGCAGAGGATGAGCATGATGTTGTGTGGTTTTGGCTGGAGAAAGGCAAGCCACATGAATGCCCAGTCTGCGCACAATACTTTGTGGTAAGTGGAGGCTTAAACTTGATGGATTAATTTTTTTGGGGGGCTTCCTGATCTGGACTGGATGGAAATTAGTCCAAATCCAGATATGGACTTTTATGTTATTATTTGGATGATCCAACGGAATGTGTTTGGAACAGCTGGAAGTGTTTTGATCCATGACTGTCATTGACTCATTATTGAGACTTGGCAGCGTCAATCAATTTCATGCAACACAGGTTGTGTGAGATTTTCCAGTCAAATCCTTTAGGGGTTTTGATAAATGATGGATCATAATGCTCTATCATTTTGCATTGGACATGCTGCTGCTTATTTGCTTCCAGTTAGGCAGAACTGTTCTCATTTATTTCGTTTGATGCTTCCACAGCTTGAAGTGGTTGGACCCGGTGGATCTCCAGACCATTCCGATGACCATCACTGATTTGAATCGACCAAAATTCAGGAGGGAGATGGAGAGACGATATCCAATATACGCTGCAGCTATAACTTTCAAAATAGGAAGCCTTTTGTTTTTGTTTGGTTGATTGATGTTTAGTTTTGTAATTTGTGGCGGTTGCTTTTGCAACATTTGAGATAGAACCTCTGATAATTTAGACACAGGGAACAACCTTCCGGAACACTATGGATCTTCTTGTAAGGACGCCCTTCTCTGCATTTGCCAAAATAATTGATGGGTACTGCTTGTTCATTCTTTTCCTTGAACGGCTAGTTCATCGCTATCTGCTTGTTCGTTGGTATTCTAAACACACGCTGAACCTAGAGGCAAGTCAAACCATGAAGGGCTTGAATTAGGAGATTGACAGAGCAATTGATTTACCTTGGTCTGAGATTTTCTAGTATGCTTTGGAGTATTTTAGTGATTGGTAATGTGTAATTGTTGATCATAAAAGTTACAATTCATATGTGGCCCACATGCAAAGTATCTAGGAGCTAATTACGTCCTATGGTCACTTAAATGTTGATGCGAGTATGCAAATTCACCGCCGAGGTTGGTTGGGCGAAGAATTTGAATGTGGTGATGTGATTGGGCGAAGAATTTGAATGTGGTGATGTGATTGAATGGGCTGCTAGCTTTTGGGTATAGTGACTTCGATTGAGGAAGGAACACTCTTGGCTTTGAGTTTTAGAACTTGAAGATGAGGTTATGCAAATCACTATGGTAGCCTTAAATATATTGATGAAAATATAGGTCCGTCGAAATGGTATCAAATTGTTAAGTACAAAGATACTCAAAAGAAATGAGTGTCTTAACCATAAAAGTGGTTGGGTTGCCTGTGTGCCGAAATTTGAAGGTAACCTGAGAGTAACCAATCATGGAACACCTTACTTCACTGAGAAGGTTGTCTCTCGACGAAAGAATCAAAGACTTTTTGTCAGCTAAGACTTATGATAAAAAGTCAGCCACATGATGCGTTACGAATGTGACACATAAATTAAACCATATTTGTGACAATTGTAGTAATGATGTAAGTAGGGATCGTTCTAACCGGGGATTAACTAGGGGTGCTAAACACTTGATTCAAATAAATAAAACTAACCTTTAAAACACTTAACTCACTTAACAAAAACTCAAAACAAGTCCACAAGACTCCAAATACTTAAAAACACAAAATAGATAGATTGTAATGACTAAAACTTGACAAAATATGGGGGGATTGAGGTTTTGACGAAATTAAACTAAAATGCACAGATTGCAATTAAGGGCAGAATGTAAATATGAATGTGATGAAAATATGGATGAATGCTAGCTAGAAGGTTTTTCTCCACACATGTTACACTTGCATACAAGATGATTTTCGGTTGGTCTTTCGATGAATTATGAAACTCAACACCCCGGGTTAATTAGGTCCGCTTAAATTAACCGTCAAGTTCTTCTTAAGTTAATGAATTGGATGGGTTAGCGCAACGCAATTCACAACATTCTCCAAAAGTCCTTTACGTGAAAAGCACAATAAAGATACAATCAAAGATCATTAAGCATCATGAAAACTATAAGTGTTGACGAGGCATTCGTTACTATGATGAGCATGAAACTAGTGCCAAGAATTCATTTAACGCGATTGTTTATAAGCAACCTCCACTACTTGTGAATATAAGTTCATAACTATTAGGTGAAACTCACTTATATTCTAGCGTCATATTCATGCATGAAAATTAAGCGTGCACTCTCAATAAACATACATAAATAGGTTATCAATCAAACAGTTAAACAAATTGAATCCACAACTCATGAAATTCCAACCAAAGGTAATCAATTCATATTGCAAGCATAAAGGGGTTTAGTTCCTCATACGTACAAGACAAAGATAAGTAAATTTAACCATTGAAATCAAGGAAAGGAAACACCTAAAAATTCCAACAACTCAAACTTGAATTGTATGAACGTTTAGGCCCTCTTCTCCTCCTCTTTGTTGCGGCACAAGGTCTAAGGATAGGTTTTGGGGTGGTATTTGTATGGAGGAATGGATGTGTGATGGTGTGAAGTGTGTTGGAGGGATGGGGAGTGCTGGAAATGGAAGGGGAGGCCACGACTTTGAAGGGAAGTGCTGGAAATGGGTGCTGTTTTGCACGGCAAACAAGGGTTGTGACTGGAATGGAATGGTATGCACGGGTTGGATGTTGTGTGGGAGATTATGGACGAATTTCTGTGGTGAATGGAGGTGTGGAATGGAGTGGATGTGTGATGGGATTGCATGGTTTTATAGGGAGAGAATGGGAGAGAATGTGAGAGAATGTGGCTGAATGATTAAAGAGGGAATGCATGTGGAATGACAGCTAGGTTGGTTGGTGGCTGCAATAATGAAGGGGGAAAGCTGGAATGTGGAAATGCACGGCAAAGGGATGGTTTTTGGGGAGAGAATGGGAATGTGTGACAGCTTAAGGGGGGAATATATGCATGATGGTGGCTGCAATATGAAAAGAATGACTACTTAATGCATGTAGGGTGCAGCTAGGTTGGTGGAAAGCTGGAATGGAGTGGGGAATGGTGGGAAGGCCACGGCAAAGGATGGGAAAAAGGGATGGTGGCTGAATTATTTGTTGGTGAAGCATGTGAGTGAATGATTAAAGAGTGAATGGAAGAATACATTTGTATTTGGAGTGCATGATGAATACATGTGGCTGAATTATTTGTTGGTGAGGGGATGCACGACAATGGTTGTGTTTTTGGGGAGAGAATGGGAATGGTGTGAAGTGTGTATGAATGGATGTTTAAAGAGTGAATGAATGGGGGAGCATGTGGTTGAATGATGAAGTGGGAAAGCTGGAAATGCAAGGGAATATGCACGGCTAAGGCTTGTTAGAATGGGCTAGGCCCTTTGTTTTATGTCCTAAAGTGCATACAAGGCCTTCAATTTCGTCCAACACTTTGGCTCCAAGCATAAGCTATCCATCCTTAGCCCAAAAGTGCTCCAAAAGGCTCCAAAATGCACTTCTTTGCTCCTTTAGCCCTTAGAACCTGAAAACATACGAAAATAACTTAAAAGACTTAAAGAACTAAGAAATAACAACGTAAATGCACAAGAACAAGCCAACTAAGTTGCCTAAATATGCTTCTATCAAATTCCCCCACACTTAGCTTTTGCTAGTCCTCGAGCAAAACAAAACAACAAAAGAACACGAAACTAGACAAAACGAACAAAACACAACCTACACCTTCCAACGTTACCTCAGGGATTTCCAATGCACATGACATGTTCAAAATTCATTATCTCCACAGATTTTAGTCATCTTCACACTTAAGTACATTCTTAATCATAGTCACCACATACTAGTTCACAATTAAGCATTTAAAACCATGTTTTGAATGTAGTAACATGCCTTAGAGAAATCACTTAATTCCTTACAAGATACTCTCTTATTTTCACACAGACTTTCTGATTACACACCCTACACTAAGTATATGTGAGAAGATTGATGTAAATATGAAACTAAACACTCACATATGTTTATAACAAGGAAAGCACTTTTCTGGAATGTATATGAATAAGATGTCATGAAAGGAATGCTACTAATTAGATGCGAGAACCAGGGATACCATATGCTTACATCAATTCCAAACTCCACATTATTGAAAACATAATGATCAAGATTGAAGCATAAGGATTGTAACGGGGTAAGGGTGATTGGCTGACAATGAAAGGTAAGGATAACAAACGTTCTTTAAGCAATAGCAAGCAAAGTAATGAAATTTGACACTTAGAATCACTTATGATTGCAGAAACTCACTTAGACACAGAAGGGGAAAAGTCACACAACTCTTAGGGCCATATTCAACGTTTTGGACCCTTTCTTCAACTACCACAAACATGTGAGCTTATTTTCACTTATTTCATCCTCTTTTTCTTTCTTTTCACAACTTTTTCTTTTCTTTTTCTTTTTCCACGAATATTTTTTTTTTTTTTTTCATGCCTTATTTCTTTTCGTGGCATATCAACACACACACACAAATTCCCCCACACTTGTTGTTTTGCATATTCGAAAGGATTCCCTCTAAGTCATGCTTACTATGCTTCAAGAACAAGGGTATGGGTGGTCCTAATCTAGGCTAGGTGGGGATGATATGGGTAAACAAAGAACAAAGGCTAACAATGGCTCAATGGGGGTTATGACCTACAATATATATATAGTGCATGGGTTGGCTGTTTGGTTGATGGCTTCACTACACACTTCATGTTGATATATATTATGCAATCATGCTTTGACTGGAATGGATGCAAGTTCTAGCATTTGGAACTAAATGATGAAACGCCTTCTAATTAGCAACCAAGCAAGAATAATGAGATCATGCAACGAGTTTGAAAACAAGAATCACAGATTAATACTCTCCAAAGAATGTTTAAAGCTCAAGTCTCTCAGGGTTGTAATGTTTGTTTGAGTTCCTTCCTTCAAGCATGTTACAAAAACTAATTTTTCTTTTAGGATTGCATGTGAAGTCATACATTATAGCCATAACCAAGCATATACCAAGAGTATATCAAACTTTTCTCCATGTTTATAACTCTTTCTTAACAGTCATGCAATTAAAAACCAAATCCTCATCATTGTGTTGGAAGGTACCCTAAGACACAAACACACAAAAACGACTCAAAACACTCTTTTTAGGTCTTTTCAAAACATGTTTTTCAAATTTTTATGTGATTTTCGGAGTTATAAAACAAAACACACTAAAACACTCCAAATCAGCTTAAAAACATTTTAAAACAGCAAGGAACAACACTTGAAGTTATGGGTGATAAAATCCAACGAATTTGCATCAACATACTTAGTTACCCCCCCACACTTCAATCAAACATTGTCCTCAATGTTTTAAGCCTAAATTCACACCAAACAAAAGTAAACACATAAACAGCAACTAAACATACTAAACATGGCAGAATGTAACTAACAAAGAGAAGAGTTTAGGGACGCAAATCTGGTTATGGAGTGTAAATTCCATCTTTTCCTTGGTGATTGCATTGAGGCTTGATCTTTAGTTTGACTGGAAGATTTTCTGGTTTCCTCCAATCGTTGATTTTCCACAGGCTACTCTTGAACTGGGCTGGAGGATTCTGACACATGGCAGGCAAGCACGAGGTGGAGGTGATGACCTGTTCTTTGTTCAATCTTTCCAATTCGTATTGAAGAGGGTTAGAGGATAACTCAGCATATGCAGTTGTTGCGTTTGCTGACTATCCACAAGATTGATGT